GCAGAAAACGCGCGTTTTCTGTAGTTGCGGGAATTGCGAGTGATGCCGAAGAGCATCGCGGTGAAACGGCATCGGTGACACGATTGCCGGTCACGGCCGTCATGGCTGCTGGAGCCTGCCCCGCAGCCAGGCGGGACGCGGTGCGGTTAGACCCGGCTGGACGCTGCCCGGGCCGCCGGGCTCACCGGGTCCCAGCCTCCCGAGGCCTCGCTGGGGCGAGCGGCCAGGAGGGTGACCAGAGAGGAGGGTGTCTTTCCCAGGCTTTCTTAAAACTGCGCTTAGCAGAGCAGGGACAGTAACGGTGGAGTCGATAACCACGCTTGCCCAAGGATAGGAAGTTTGTTGGGAGAAGCATCTTCTGTTTGGCGGGTGGATGCTGCTGAGCTGTGCGTTGCTGCCGTAGGCCTGACAAGAAGCAGGCAATGAAGCCGCTTGCACACAACTGCCCATCATCCAGGCAGTGTTTGGAGCCGCCCAGCCTGAGAGGAAAGCACAGCAGTGGGGATGTTAGCAGGAATACACTGACCAGGTTCAGATGCAATGAATTAATGAGTTTTAGTGGGTGGCAGAGTTATCTTATTTCCTAGGTTTATTTTTGGAAGAATTATTTGTAGGTCAGTTTTGAGAGTGACTCCTGAGAGGACATGATGAAGAACTGTTTGGGGAAAAACACTCTCCCCCCAGTAAAGACGAGTTTCTGGTCTCTGTCAGCTGCACGCGCAGCCCTGGGGGTGGTGAAAGCCCTGTTTCACCTGGGTTGTTGCTGCTGCTCGGTGCAGGGGCTGTGGGACGCTCTGGGGCCCACGCACCGTGCTGGCCTGGCAGGGAGAGTTTTGCTCATGCTGTGGTGATTCCGAGATGTGGTGCACGTTGCTCTGTCTCCGATCTCTCGGTCCTCTTCTTGCCGCTTTCCTAAGGATCGCACCCCCCCCGCCAGCCCCGTCGCATCCCCTGTGCTCCCCTCACCCTTTCCATCCTGCAAGCTCTAGTGACTCTCACGAGATCTCACTGATCAAGAAACCACGTTTTTTTCTCAAAAGCTGTCTTCTCAGCGAAATGCTGGTGGGAGCCAGGCTCAGGAGAAGAGAAATAATGAAAGCCCCTACACCTGCCCTGTTCCCGCAGCTGCGGGCATGTTAGCATAGACATATATATGCAAACCCCTCTGTACTTCCTGGACAATATCAAATATTTATGTAAACCTCAGCCAGCGCGGCAGATGATGACCCGTCTCGCAGCTTGCCGCCGGTACTGCCGCTGTAAGGAGCACCGCCGCGGCCGGGGCCGGGCCCGTGGCAGCAGAGCTGCTTTCCGTGCAGATGTATGGCTCTCTCCCAAAAGGGTGAAGACACCCTTACTTTAGTTGCCTTAAAAATAGCGTGTCACTTGCACAGCCGGGCTCGCTGCTTGCTCGCAGGCTGCAGAAGGAACTAAAAATAATCGGATTAGGAGTTCATGCCTGCCAGTGCCATCAAGGCAAATGTAACTCACTATGAGGTTACTGATTTTTTGGTGTGCAAATTTTACCCACGTATATCTGCTGTTGACATGAAGGCAAATAATTTGACACTAGAAGTGATAAATCAGGAAGATAAAGCTAAAAGAAATGGAAGAGGAATAAACACCACATAATCTAAGAATTGTATGGGTTTGCTTATTGCCTTCAATTTATAAATTAATATCTATTATACATAAATAAAACCGATTTTCAGGTTTATAAAACCTGAATCCCTGGAGGGATTTGCAAATAAAGCAAGTACTTCAGTATCCTCTCTTCTAGTACTTTGGTATCTTTTCTTTTTCTTATTGTACATGTGACACCTAAATAAGCAATCCAATGATTTCTAATAACAAAGATTAGCAACTGTCAAAAAGGTTTGGAGATGCAATTCAGATAAGCTATCCAAAATTCAAATTAATACCTGTATACTAAATCTATATTGCACAAGGGTAATTCATACTGGAATTGAATTTATTGTTTTTGCTTTAGCCCTTCTTTGGTTAGTGAATCGATCCTACTATTTTTTTCAGGTCAGTTTGTCGTTACGAGAGAAAATTGGATAAAGAATCTTCAAGTCAGGATTGTTTGTGTGCAGGTCATTGGGCTGCTCACCCTTCGCAGTCCGTGGCCCACGATGTGCCCTCAGCCACCTCTGTCACCTCTAGCTGGATAACAGAAGCCTTCCAAGTAAGAGAACAGAAAGCAAGAGAGAAAAAATTATAATACACTTCTGGTGTGACTCTTTTTAAAACTTCTTTATTCTTTTGGCACAATGTAATCAGTGCTTCCTAGACTTTTGAGATCAGCAGCTATTTCCGTGTATAATCACCAGTCTTTAATCAAAGACAGAACAGCCTACATGTTTCTGTATCTCGGCCCACTCTGTGTAAAATGAAGACAACAATACTCCCCTTCCCAATCTGTTGCTGTGCTCCAGTGACGGTGATTATGGGCTCTCTTTCGCAGTGTATTCAGGTCTCTCAGTCTGTACGGGACCCCGTTGCCGTGGTCTGGCATTGACACAAATTGCCACCTGCTGCAGGGGCAGGGGAGCAGGTGTATTTGGGTATGTAAAGGCGAGGCTGGAGCGGGATGTCTTTAGTTTCAGAGGGTTTCTTGCTTCCCAGAACGCACAGGGTGGAAGGGGGTAGGTTCAGACAGAACTGCGCACTGGTATTCTCCTGGGCTCCCTCCTGTGAGGCTGAGCCTCGTTGCAAGGGCACAGGATACCTTCAGTTGAAGTATGTCTGAAAAGTCCTCTGTGGCCTTCACCTGTGCACAGCCATAACCAGCTCGGTGTCCAGTGCTGAGGATGGGGTCAACTACTGATCAAGTGCATCGGTCCCTTATAAATTGCTAAAAGTGACGTGGCTGGAAGCCAAACAGCAGCCTAAGGACTGTGCTGCTAACCCTGTACAATTCTGCAACCTTCCCAGCGGTTTGTGAGCAAGTGTGTCTTATATTTCTTCTGCCTTTGTGGCAAAAGATCCATTAATTTGGAAAAGGGGTGCTGTGGCCTTGCAAAAAAGATACTCATCCATACCTGACAAAAATAATTATATCAAGAGCCAATTTCCCCTGGCCTTTCGTTATGCTTGTACCCCGCTAGTACTAAACAGCATCCTTGGGCTCTAGGCAGTTCAGCAAAATAAATGGGCTATCTGCAAAAACTGTATACCATTTTTTCAATTAGATGAGAAGTGAAAATATGCAATATAGCAATTTATAACTTCTGGTTACAGCCTTGGAGAATGCAGTCATAGACTTTCATAGTCTGTGTATGCAAGGCCGTCCTCCTTTTTTCTTCTTTTTCTTTCTGTTGTGTGATTATTAGCAACAATGCAAAGCCATATGGTAGTTGCCATGGTGGAGGGGCTGCTCCCATAACCGTCTGAGCAGAGCACATTCTAAACATTGCAGTCTGGAGCCCAAAATACCACAGCAGTAACAGAATTCTTTCTCCAAGTGGTTGCCAGCGCTCTCTCCTACTGAAGACCCCGAGGACGCAGTCCTTTTTAGCATACTTCCTTCAAACGCAGCCTCACATCCGTTGTTCAGATATCATGTGTTCACATTTGCCTTGAATTAGCCTGCACAGTGACTTTTTAGTGACTCAAAGAGAAAAAGAATCTGTCCTTCTACCAATGGGAACCAAAAAGGAAGTTTTATATATATGTATTGGTAGGCTTCCAGTACTTGCCGCTACCAAACCATGAGGACAGCTGATGTAGAGTCTAGATTAGGAATAAAAATAAGCACAGAAGATGTGCTGCCCTGCATAGTTTGGATGGCTCCAATTTTTGAAATATATATTTAAAAACCCCAACAGTTATATTTGAATACTTAAAGACCCTGGGCAAAATGTAAATGTCGTTAATGTAGACTAACTCAACAGCAGTGAAATTGGACTAGGGCAGGCTTTACCCTCAAGAAAGCTTTCAAAACCCCAACTCCCCTGGTTATCTGTTAAGCTGAGCTGGAGATGGGAGGCTGGGCCAATAGTATTTAAACGGGCTTTGCAAAACTGTTGGGAAGAGTTACCAGCTCGGGTCCAAAACCTATTCACAAGTGCCCTTTACCACCCTGATGGGGAGGGAGTGGAAGAACTGAATGATTTGCTCTGAGAG